TTATCCTCTTTACAGAAGAAGTTAAATTGTTCTTAGTGTGTTATTATCTTGAAATAATACTTTACTAATAATAAGAAAATATAATAATAATATATATACATACAATAATATATAAGTGATAATAACTAATATGTATTAATAACTATATAATAATGCATATAATCTGTGTATAATAATTAATAATAATATACAAGTAATAAGTCTTTGTAAACATATAAACTTCTTTAAAAGAACATAGCAAATAATAATGAGATATTAATAATATATAAGTAATAATAACTAACATATATAATAACTGTATAATAATGTATATAATATGTATACAATAACTAATAATAATATACAAATAATAAGTCATTGTAAACATACAAACTTCTTTAAAAGAACATAGCAAATAATAATAAGATATTAATAATATATAAGTAATAATAACTAACATATATAACAACTATATAATAATGTATATAATATGTACATAATAACTAATAATAATATACAAGTAGTAACAAGTAATAATAAATAAATTACCCGAACTATCTTGCGATATTAGAGCAAGGCATGACGCCATACAAACTTCATTAAAAGAACATAGCAAATTTTCTTTTCGAGTCATAAAATTCGCCGGGTAACACGATCCCGACAACCGTCCGTTAAGCTCCGGGGTTCGCAAATATTTTCACGTCGCAAACAATTTTCCGTTTCAGATATCTCCGGTGAAACATAAGAAGTCGTGCCTTGACGTCATGTGCCACTCAAACCGCCAGCATTATTGTCACAATCGCCAGCCCGATCGTCCGGAAACAGAGAATCCTTGAGCGTTTAGCGAGGCGCGCGCGCGCGCGCGCGTTCCCCGGCAAAAGTGATCACGGAAAAGCGGGATCCCCGTTCTGTGACAATGAAGAGGACCGTGGCGACAGCACCGAATTATGAAAAAGCGAGCCGAGCAAGACCGATGGTATAGCAGGGATGAAAATCTATCGAGGAACACATGTACCAGACCAGCCTCGCACGAGACAGGAGCGTCTCGTCTGGGCTCGGAGATCGAAAGTAATTTTAAATATTAGAAACGACACTCAAAGGGAAAATGGAGCACAAGCAGACGATCATGCTCGCACCTGCGCTGAGCAACAGCAGCTGCTGGCGGAGGGACACGTCCGAGGCCGCTTGGACCGCGCCGGGATTAGGGGAATTGCTGCGAGCCACGTTAATACTTTCGCTGAGCCTCGGCATCCTTTGCGCAAACCTGCTGGTGATCTGCGTCATTAACAGCAGACGATACAGCAAATATATTCATGCACAGGTTAGTCACGTCGTACGCATATTTCTATAAAACATTCATCCGATCGCACGATACCTCGGAAAAATTAATAAACGCACCGCGTATCGTTCGTTGGAAAGTTTCCTCGATTCGACGGACCGTAAAATTCGCTGTTCCCGTTTCTGTGATTTCTTTCAGTTCGACGTGCTCGGAAACGTACTGTCAATTCTGCATTTGTAAAGTTCGATGACGCTGGGACCGTTTGTGGATTCCGAAACCGACGCTGAAACTCGAAACACGTTTATCAGAGAACGACTTTCGTCGACCTGACGAATACAATATTTCCAAGATTATTTGGAATATATATATTATAATATAATATATATTTCAATATATATCCAATATTTCATTTTTTTTTCATATATTTTATTTCATATACAATATTTCCAAGATTATTTGGAATATATATATTATAATATAATATATATTTCAATATATATCCAATATTTCATTTTTTTTTCATATATTTTATTTCATATACAATATTTCCAAGATTATTTGGAATATATATATTATAATATAATATATATTTTAATATATTATGGGGACCGAAAAGTAATGTCGTTTCTGCGCATATTTATCTGTTTGAATTTAATGTAAAAAAACGATATAACTTTCCGGTTCCCCTAATATTATAATATAATATATTATATATCTCAAATTATTTGAGATATATATTATATAATATATTAAGCGGAAAATTGAAGCTTGTTTTTTTGTTTCGAATAAAAATTAGCTTTCACAAATTCGATCGCGTCTACGGAACGTGAGGAATATCTTTCGCGGTTCACCGACTTCGTACAGGGAAGCTTCTCCTTTACAATGGCCTATAAAAAGTTGATCTACGATTTTTCGTCGCCGTTTTATCGCACTTTGAATGAAAAGTGCGCCGCTGACGTTAGATAAACTCGAGGCACGCTACGACGAGGTTGTAAACGTTTCCCCGCGAACGCAGCGTATGTTTATTCTACTTATTCTGATACGTAGACCGGACGGCCAGAAAAATCTCATGCTCGCTCCTTGTATTCCAATTACGAACCATGAACTGGCGTATAAAGGCTGCGGTTTAATCCTTGAGTTGGAAAAAGAAAAAGATATACAGCGATTATTGATTATTCTAAATTATAGAGAATTTGGGAAGAGGAGATGCGATTATTCGAGCCTTGCAAGGTTATTTATATAATTGATATTTTTATATAATTTACGTATTAATTTATTTTAATTTCGCAAATAAAATTGAAATCTAAATCTCGAATCTAAAATTAAGGATCAGTACATATTTTCTTATTTTAGTATTTATAATTTTAATATGTGGGGTAGTTTCCTCTCTAAGGAAAATTTTTTTAATAACGAAATTTTTTCAACGGGACACATCGCGATTTCTGTTCCATTCGACCCTCAACAGAATATTGAACGAAGATGATTAATTTATTTTTGAGTACAATTGACCCTAATTGACGCTCAGCTTGGAAACAAAAATGGACAATTTGGGTAGAGGAGGTAAGATTAATTAATTTATAGAAAGCAAGCCTCGAATAATCGTATTTCCTCTTCCCAAATTCTCCATTTTTGTTTCCAAGCTGAGTGTCAATTTGGGAGAATTTACTGTAATTCGATTTTTAAGGTCGAATAATCGTATCTCCTATTTCCCAAATTGTCCATTTTTTATACAATCTGAGCGTCAATTAGGGAGAATTTAGTGTACTTGCTAAAAATCAGAACGAAGGAGAAGTTCCATTTGCCAACTAAAAAACATCTTGTAATAAAAGTATAATAAAAATAATATGAATTCTTTTGATAATACACGCATTCCCTTATAATTGTAATAAATAAATTGTAATAAATATCATAAGCACATAAATATTCGTAGTCTACTAATCGCATAAATAAATTTTGGTTCAAAGTACAATCTTCTTGATCACATTTGATCGATTTCACGACGTTTGTTTCAAACTTATAAACGAGCGAAGCGCACGAACAAATTCGAATTTGTGTGTTCGGTTGGCCAGATGTGTGACGATCTATCAATCTAAGTGTGCATGTGGCAGTTCGGTCAGGATCCGTCCAGTGATTGAGGACGAACGCTAGATTTACCATGCAGGACGCATATTTACGGATGTAATCGAAACTATGACCACCCAGCGGCTTTACATAGCGCGCGGAATGATTGATCTAGGTCACGGGTGCCCAATGGGGTCGATGATCCTGTAGGGGTCAGCCGACGGTCGGTGAACCTTTTAGGATCTTCTCGGGGTTGATAAACTATTGAAGTACAATATTTGATAATGATTACATGGATTTGGACTTATAATAAGCGAAAGTTCTCCAGAGCTTAATATTAATGATCGCTCCATGGTCATTGGCATTTTCTCGCATATTAATATTGGCCAAAGTTATGTCAAGGCTATGTCAAGGTTAGTTATATATTCTCGCATATTTAATATTTGATTTTACGACGCAAAGTAGTAGTCGGCGGTGGAGTTAGTTATTTATCCACGCTCGACTACGGATTCCTGAGATCATTTGAAGTAACTTTTTCCTTAGCGGAAATGCAATCCGCGGCTTCGTTAACGAGTTATTAACGAAAAACAGTGACCAATGAGAAGCGAGGTCAGCTGGCGCGAGGCGGCTGAGCCAATCAGCGGAACTGGGCTTCTTGCGCTCGACCGCTGCAGCGTGCCGCTCTCCACGTTGCTTCCATTGGCTTACTGGCGCTGCGTCTCGTCCCCCCCACTCGTTGCTTCCAGCGGTGGGGAGCGAGACGCTGCGGCGGTAGTCAGGAGGTGTAGCCCTCGCGGTTGCAATGTTGCGTTCCAAAGAGTTCCGAAGCGTTCCGAATCCTGGTTTAGATCAAACTGCTCAAGATTAACTCGACGGGCAATAATGGCGGTTATGCGATCGTCAACCGTGGATTTACGAGCTCCAGTAGATTTAGATGAAAAGCTGCGAGCAGCATATGCAGATATAGATTTATACGGATTATTCTGTAAAACTGAACGACGTTTAAAAACCAACCTAACTTATTTAGGAAAACAAAAATTATTTCAATTAACATTTAGAGCAGCTGTTATCGTCTTTACTTACTTACAAAAGGTAAAAGGTTAAAGGATTCACTAAATTGAACAAGTTTACCATATTCGCCTAATATAATGAATTTTTTTTAACCAAAATAAATAATAGCTTCGCTTATATGTGGTGGTTTTAAACGTGCGTTAAAACAGGTGATTATTTTTACAGAGATCTAACATACTCCGAGGATTAAATGCGCCCAACAAATTGTTATCCATTTCGGACGATTTGAGAACTAGCATTTGCAACTTGCGAAAATGCACGCGCGTCAGGTTGTACGATTAAACCTGTCCACTCATGAAAGTCGACGAGGACATATCAAAACTCACCCGACGGGATTTCAAGCACAGACGGTGAATGTCATTTCCAAAACACAATTTTATCCTGAAAAGTGGCCCCCACTCGTACGTCGGGTTTGTCCCGCCTGCAAATATCTACTAACACACGCTCGCGTATAGTGATTAGCTCACAATAGGAACCATCGCAGCCTTCGCATCACGTATTGCTTGTCACGAAATTAGTATTACAAACCGGAACAATTTAAAACGTTTTACCGCATCGTATGCCTAAAATTATGATTAAATTACGTTAAATTTGTATGAAAGCGACGAGTAAGTATGGATACTAAAAATGGAATAAAATTCTGACCTATTGTCATTAACCCTTTGACTACTGTTGGCGCCTATTGGCGCCCGAAACATGTTGGCTTCCCGGTATTGTAGGCGCCTATTGGCGTCCTATTTTTTCATTTATTCGATTTAGCGGTATATAACACATTTATATTATATAACTATGTATCTGGAAGAAATTTAACATTTCGTAAATTTCATTTAAATTTAATAAAACAAATATTAAGAAAATACAGCTTAGATGAAACTAATGGATATAAATTAAAAGGTAAAGAGATACTAACAACGAACCTTTTCGTTTGACTCAAAAGCATTTTCCGTCTCCATATGAAAGCAATACAGCAATTCGGAAAAGTGCAGGGCGTAAATGTGTAGTGTGTGAAAAAGATGATAAGACGAAGGTTACACATTACGAATGCAAAAAATGTAATGTAGGATTATGTGTTCATCCATGTTTTGAAATGTATCGCACGTTATTATATTACTAAATTTGATTATTAAATATTGTAAAAAAAGCTTAATATTAATGTTCACTTCAAGTAATATTGGTTTGATGTAATAGAATTCAGTATTTTGAATATTTTAATATATTTCCTCAGAAATGCGTGTCTAACGAAAAACTTCGCCGTACCCAGTGGTTAATATTTCAACATTCGAATTTTAGGCACGCGATAAACATGAATTTCGAAAAATTTCCAATCGCAGTAATTGCGAAGAAAATGATACGTCGAAGGGTTGATGAGTGCATCTGTCGTAGAATATGTGATTACTATCATCTACCTAACTCAGACCTTCCGTGTTTCCATGCTTTACGATGTTCCAGGTAAAAAAACGTTTAGTCAGATTCAAGGTAGATTTGAACTAATAGCTCAGGGTAACAAGAAGGTCCGGGTTATCACTGGGTTAGATTTGGGTGAGGTCTAGTTCAAATTTAGTTCAGATGGAACTGAAGTCTGCTCTTGGATTTGGATTAGATTTAGATGTATCTTAGATGGAAAAAACGCTGGGACGTTGACAAGAAGGAAAAAGTTATTCGAAATAATCGTTTCGACAATATATTTAACCCTTTGCACTCGAAGCAATTTTAACTGTAAATCTAAGTTAACTTTTCTGACTTATAGTATTTCCATTTTATACAACAAAGTGCATTTCATGCATATGAAATTGAGTCTTGCGACTCGTACGACAGATTGACTTTTAACAATCTTTTTATATCAAAGCTTCGATGATATAAATATTATCTTGGAACGTGATGTAACAATTTTAGTGGTGCCTCAGAGTCACCACTCGAGTGCAAAGGGTTAAAGATCATTGAAATCGGCGAAAACTATTTCCTAGATACGTAATGTCTCTCTAATTGACGCTCGGATTGTGCAGAAGAATCGACAATTTGGGAAGAGGAGGTACAATTATTCGAGTCTCGCGTCTCGTTTTTACAGTTGTTGAGAATCGGCAATTATAAAAACAAGTCGCAAGACTCAAATTAATCGTATCTCCTCTTCCCAAATTGTCCATTTTTCTCCACAATCTGAGCGTCAGTTAGGGAGACATTACTGTAATTATATTATTTTCTTCCGTTTGATTCGCCGCATAGTATCATTGAAACTTAAGAGAAACGTATTATTATTATATATTATATTATTATTATTATTATAGTGCGAGCAAAGATAATTAAAATAATTTCTTTCTTAGTACAAAGATTAAGTAGAAAGATTCTGCATAGTATTCGAATTCTGAAATCTAATTTTCAAAGTCAATGTTCAAATTTTTATTTGAATACCTAATCTTACTTTCATTGGAAAAGTAATTTTTAGTTTGAGAACGTGTAAATTGAATGATTTTATTCAGCAATAATATAATGGTCATTGCGCCGTTCTTGATTGGAAATGGTACATGCAGATGATCTGTAATCTGGAAAACACTCCGCAAACGGGGCTCCGAGTCGATTTACAGAACGCGTCGGTGTGGGTAAAGAAAACATCGGCGTGTTAAGCAGGCTTTAGATACAGCAACCTCAGCTATTTGTTCCGTCCGACTAATCCAACCCTGTTCCACTTAAATAGTCATTATGTGCGTTTATTTACAGCTGTTCGCCCAACTTGTTGAACAAGCCGTAGATTATGGTATATCCGAAAATTTATGTGTTACATTCTGGTCGAAAAACGGTGGCAAATAAATTGAACAGATCTGTTAGCGTTTCTAGTGCTTTGAAACGTATTGCTTTCACAAAACTGCGACCATTATTTTTCATTCGTACATCGTATATAATACTGCAAATTTTCATTATCACGAATACCTCGATGAAAAATCGCAACAAGTAGTTGGTTATCGAAACGATCAAAATGAATCCCCGTGTTATTATAAAATTCCAATTGCAACCTAAAAATTGCGATCAAAACGATTTTAATGGTCAGAGAGAGAGCCTGGCACTCTCTCTGTGAATATTGGATCGAGTCACCGATAATTTCCATTTCAGTACATCAATTTTATTTATACATCATTTCATGTATTAAATATTGGGCCGGGTTACAAATAATTTCCATTTTAGTCTATTAATTTTATTTATACATAATTTCATATGTTAGATAAATAATAATTATATTTTAATTATAAATTAAATATATTTACAATTAGCAAACATTTTTAGCTCAATAATTTTTCGTCTGTCAGATCTGCATAACGACTTCTTAATTCGAATAAAATATTAATCGCTATAAAATATGCAAGCCGCATGTTTCCCACCAGCGATATTAGCTGTGATTGGCTCGAATTTAAACGTTGCTAGAGTACAATCACACACAAACACACTCAAACAGAGCCATAAAAAAGGCATATCAGGAAATACATATATCTTCTATCCATTTTTGTTTCAGAATATTTACTGAGACTAATGATACCCAAAAGAATATAAGGTGTCTCAATATCACTCGCAATCGGGAAATAAGGGGTTCCTGAGATCATTTGAAGTAACTTTTTCCTTTGCGAAAATGCGATCCGAGGCATCGTTTACGAGTTATTAACAAAAAACACTGACCAATGAGAGGCGAGCTTGGCTAGCGCGGGGCGACCGAGCCAACGAGCGGTCGAAGTCCAGTTCCGCTGATTGGCTCGGCCGCCTCGCGCCAACCGAGCTCACCTCTCATTGGTCAGTGTTTTTCGCTAATAACTCGTAAACAAAGCTGCTGTTCGCATTTTCGCTAAGGAAAAAGTTACTTCAAATGATCTCAGGCACCCGGAAGTAACATAATTACAGGCTTCACTGTCTTTACCTTTAGGAAATCTCGTTCAACTCCATAAGCATCAAACAAACTTCATAATTTTTTGATACTGAAAAATCTGATATAGATTTTGATTTTTGATTTCGTATCTATAAATTGTGTTATATCTAGATATTTCATTCTATTATGTTACACTTGGTTACGCTATACTTCATTACGAATCCTATTTATATTACGTTCTCGATTATGTGTATTAATTTTATTTATGTCTTATTGTATTTTATATTTTGTAAATGTTAAGTACGAATAGCATATGTACATATAAACTAAACATTTTAAATAGTAAAAATTTTTCTTCTCATTTCTACATATTAAACAATTTTTATTGCGATTAAGATCAACACGAAATGAAAATTTGATGTCTCCCGTTTATGTCGACCCTATAGAAGTTAGCATAAATAGCGTTACTGTTGACTAGGATTTTTTCCTATTTAAATTAAACGAGAATGTCCCATTGTGTGTCCTGTTTGTCCCATTGTTGCCTCCCGTTTGTGCCATTGTGCGTCGCCGCGATTGAGCAATCGGTGGAAATCGCGTTCGCGGATTGAACGCAACGTGCATTATTTATGATAGAATCTACTAATTATGGAGTGGCGGCCGCGGCGACTGCTGTCGCCCATTTGTCTTTTCATCGATGAATTTTCAATTCCACCCTTTCTTTGCTTTCCCACCGCAAACATTTGACGATCGAGCCCGCGTTACCTTCCATCGTCAATGTCCTCGTACTTACCTCGCGTTTCACCAGGATTTTTTCACCGCGTGACTTTCCTCAACTTTCTCCATAATACTTCCCCATTCCCATGTTACCCCACCCCGTCCCACCACCCAAGACTCGTGTGAGCCCCGCAAACTTCGGCGTACGTCTATCGACCAAACCCTTCGCAACCCCGGTACTTTCACTCTTTATGGCTTTACCACTTTCACCGAGGTTCTTTGCACGGGTCCTCCTTTCGTTTTCTTCGTCAGCTATTTCATTTTATTATATTTGCTTCTCGCGCTCTTTCGTACTCTCCAACCCCCGTTCGGGTTTCTTGTCAGTTTAACACGTTCTACGTTGCTTTACCGGGCGCTGTCCGTTTCACACGCGGCTGCATTATTTACGGTGCACGTCAAAATGATAATACAGTTTGCCTATTTGCATGCGGAGCATTGTATTCGTGCAGACACTTTGCGCACACGTTTCTATAGAGATTGATGCGTGTGTGTGCGTGTGTGCGTACAGAGATTCGTGAACAGTGAAACGATATAAACGTATTTTCATTTCTTTCGTTTAGAAAAAAGTGATCTTGATTGAAAGATTAGTTTCGACAGCTGAATGTTCGTTCCGGCGTTGTCTGTAACACTATTTAAATATTATAAAAGCTTACGAAATACGTTGTACTATTTATTACAGGAAATTCTCCCGAATTGTCGCTCAGCTTGTACACGAAAATGGATAATTTGGGGAGAGGAGATACGATTGCTCGAGTCTCGCGGCTCGTTTTTATAGTTATCGACAATCGGTAACTAATTAATATTATTAACAATCGAATAGATTCATTAATATTGTTGAAGTGCATTCTTGTTTTCTTAATGTCTTGAAAGTGTAGTCATCTGCCCGGAACAATAATTTCGCAGGACGGTTGTTTAAAGCTTTGATCAATCGCACTCGAAGCTATTTTCATTGCAAAATCAAAATTCTTGTTCCGATCGATAGTGTTTCTGTTTTCTTTAACCCTTTGACTACGAAAGGCGTAAATATACGTGCTCACAAATCTCCTGTTGCACCAATCTATCATTGTGTTAACACTCATCGGGTCCATTTGGACCCAGAGTACGAATATCGTTACTCTATTATCTAATCTGTGACAATTAACCCTTTGCACTCGAAGCTATTTTAACTGTGAATCTAAAATAATTTTTCTGACTTACAGTATTTTATATGACAAAGCGCATTTTAAGCATACGAAACTTAACACTTGTGACTCACACAACAGTGTTCAAGCTCTTAACAATTTTGTAAATCTAAATTTCCTTAATATAAAAATGATCTTAAAACGTGATATAACAAATTAATTTAAATTTGCACATGATTCATCAACGTCTCTAATGAAACCTACGTGTCCGGAAGATATAATTTTTTTTTTCTTTTTTAATAAATATGTTGAAGAAATTGTTAAATAAAAGAATAAACATTCCTACGCATGCTCAGTTACAATTTCGCGAGAATGATCCGCCTCGGAGCATTAAATACTGCGTTTATCAAACGAAACTTGTTATTCATTATCAATATCGAATTTCTGTCTTTATGATTATCTTCGTAATGATATGCGACAGCCGCGGTCGCATCGACTTATTTGCCTATTTCGCTTCGTTTGCGTCGATGTCTCTATCCGAGAGTACGCAGCAGTCGAAGATTTAATTGAGTCTCTGTAGTAAGTCTGTAATTACTTTTGCGAAGGTTCTGGAAAACATATGCTAATTGTATTCGCATATACACGGTTCATATTCAGGAAGTCCGATTCTAAATACGTTTTACAAGACAAATAACATGCCAGCAATGTTATCTAAATGATCAACAGGTTCTCTTCACCTTTATTGCAGCCGAGATATTTGCTGACAAGTCTGGCAAGCAATGACTTGGCGATTGGACTCCTGGTTACTCCTTTCGGTTTCCTGCCAGCTGTTTACGGATGCTGGCCCTACGGTGAAGTTGTCTGCCAAATTCAGGTAACATTTCATACAGTAATAATTTCGTACGCGTTTCCTCCCATGCATTTCATATATTTCCGTTTTGTTATCCCCGTTTCGGAATTAATTTCGATAACTCAGACGTACGATTTCAGAACAATTGTGTTACCGATGTATTATTTTTGTTATCGAAATTTTTCAAAATCTC